TGAAATTTCCTCCAAATTTAGATGCATTATTGGTAGAATTACTCCCTCTCTTCGCCTTTGCCGCCTTCCTCCTAATAGGCATCGGCTCCTTTTGGATAGGTGAGTCTTGACTCATAAGGGAATCCATAGGTGAATCAGATGCCCGTGAATCATGGAGTGGCGTCTCGTTCAACACCACCGTCGGACCCGTTGGAATAATTCGGAATCTCTTACAATTCTTCACCACCTCCCAACATTTGGTATTGTTGAAAGGTTTTTTGCCTTGTCCAGTAGCATCATACCACATTTGTGCTTGCATAATATATATATAAAAAAATGTAAATGCAAGAAACTTTAAAAAAAATTATTGGCAATGCAACAAGTATAAAAAAAAATGGAAATGCAAGAAATATTAACAAAATATAAATATTGCAAGAAACATTTAAATAAATATTGGAAATACAAGAAATATTAACAAAATATATAAATTGCAAGAAACATTTAAATAAAAATTAATATGACATAGAAATTAATAAAAGAAAAATTACAAATAATTTACCTCATTGCTAAGGTTTTACCCGCTTCTATGGTTGTCCATCGCTTTTGCCAAGGCATCTCTCCATTTCGCCAACTCTTTATTGAGAATTTTCCACATACTAGATAATGTCATTTATGTACGGGTCAAACCAATTGCTCTTTCATAAAATTCTTGATGAATTTTTTTCCACTTATGACAGAATTTCATCTCATTGCTCATTACGGGACAATGACTAATTTGGACCCAACACTCACACAACAAAACATCTTCCATCATGCTCCATGCTCCTCCGGTTTCAATAGAAGAAATCATAATATGATAGAGAAAAATAAAACTTGAAAGTGAAAAAAATATTGAGTAGAAAGTGAGTAATAGTAGAAGGAGAAGAAAATGTAAGAGGATTTGGTGTTAAAAGTGAAGAGTATTGATTTGTATTTATAGAAATAAAAAATTCAGTATTTTTTTTATAAAAAAAATCGATTTTTTTTCATTTTTTTTATTGCACAAAAATTAGTTGCCATTGGATTAGAGGAAAAATTCTAATCGGATAGACCAAAACGCGACATGTGGTAAAGAGCTGTTGGTGGTATTGTAGTGGCATAGTCAAATTTTTTTTAACGTTGGCGCGTGCACGTGCCAATATTAAAAACATTTGAACATCAAGACTGACGTCAACATCAAAACTCAAGCTGGCACTGGGGCCAGCCCGGATTGATGGGTCCCACCTAACGCCCGGGCCTTGTTTTGTTGCTGAAACCATGTTGGGTGACATAATCAAGCACGTTAGCCACGATTAATTAATATACTATAAAAGTTGTATGATAATAAGATGAGATATTTTACCCGACGAGATAAGCCTGAATTTACACTCCACTTGACTCTCATGGAGGAAAATTCCAAAAATGTTTAGCCTGTTCTCAACTCTCAACAAGAAGTCCAACTAACCATTGAAAAAAGAAAGGAAAAAAAAAATTAATCTTCGTTCATAATCAGCAGCAGTGGTCTTGACCTGAACATCAAAGAGGGCAGGTAACGTAGTCAAGATATTACGGCTAACCAAGTGGACCGGCAATACCTGACCAAATAACATTCAGCAGCTGCACAACCAGAGCAGAAAGCTTTTCTCCCAGGAGAACACCTCCTGAGCAAGAAGATGGGTGGCTGCAACGTCGATGGGAACCTGAACCAGGAAAATTTTAGCGCTCCTATGCCTTGGATTGGCATTTATGTAGCAGCAGCATCCCTGGCCTGCCTAATTGCAATGGCTGCAGATGTCGTCCACGGCTTTCGACACTGGAAACTCTGGTTCCCTAGCAAGTTCTTCTCCATCAATGCCACTTCTTTGACCTTGATAGGCGTAGCAGTTAAATTGTCAGTGGATCTAAACACTGCGATGCCTAGCCGCCAGGATCAGCTCGCCAAGCTTAGCAGTTCTGTCTTGATCTGCACGGTGATGGGTAACTCTATGCCTTCTCTTGGATCCATGGAAAACAAAGAAATCATGATGAATATAATTGCTTTTGGAATACTGGTTATTACCCTTATCGTGAATATCTGCATTCAGCTAGCTACTGGTGCAATCTTTGTTTTCTGCAAGGAGCATGTTTTCATCATGTTCATCATGCTTCTTTTACTTATCATGATGAATTTCTCTGCTTTAACTATTCCCGTATCTAAACGTTCTTTAGAACACAAGTACAATAAAAGGTACCAATTAGCTCTGAAAGAAGGCAAAAATGAAACTGATAAAAGAGTGGCTAGCAAACTTAAAGAACATCTGATGAAACATTGGATGATGGCTCATACCTCTAGTCCCCAGTTTGTGATGGGGCGCTCAGCGACGTGCACAGCTTCTGGAGCAATCTGTCTTTTGAGTACCATGATTTTAGCAGAAGCCATGCTTCGGACTTACTTGATGCCCTGGTCATTTACATTTTGCAGAGGTGAGTCTGACTACAAGTGGTCAACAACCTTGGTTCTTGCTACACAAACAATTGCAGTAGCAGTTGGTACAATTGGTCCTGCATCTAGATGGTTCATCGCCATAAATTTCAGGTGTGCAAAAAGAGGAAACGCCACCTACAAAGGAGAATTCAAAATAGAAAAGTACTGGACACAGAGACTGAGAGAGTTGAAAGAGTGCCCATTATCTTTAATAAGATTCAAAACTAGGCACAGCCGGAAACTTGCTCATGACACAAGAAACAAATTTTTGGATTTGTGTATTGGAATGCAGACAGGGAATGTCATAATGAGTAAAGCAATTCGGCTCATTTCCATTTTCTTTGTAAGCAGGATCTTGTTATGCTGCGACTTCTGCAAACAGTGGAAGAAGAAGTTCAAATTCGACACTGATTTTGACAACTCAGGGCCAGAGTCACAGCCAAACCAAAAGCCAGATCTTAGCCGTTATGTTCTGCATCTTGAAGGTGAGGATGCATTGGTTGAGCACATGATGAGAAGTAATTGTGATGCTACAGATCATTGGTTTCAGAGGGGAAAGAAAAGAGAGCCAAAATATATCGTTAAACTGTTGGAGAAATCAACCTTTTCACAAGGATTCAAAGGAGTAGCAGATTTCGACAGTGAAAAAGTTCCCTGTCTAGACTTGGCAGAACCACCAAACAGTTGGGCTCTACCTGTTGTAACACTAACTAGTATTGCTCTTGCACTTCCAAACATCAGCAGTTGTTCAATAAAAGAGTTAATAGGTGGTGTCCATGAAGGGATCATGTACATAAATTTTATTGAAAATTTCCTGGATTCTAAAGAGGATGTTACCAACATCAGAAAGACAGCAGATATGGTGTGGCTAGGAGTTGATCTCTACCATACATGGCTGGATGTGGATCTCCGTAAATTGTCACTTCATGGAAAGAGCTCAAAGGAGATACTTGAAGGACTTGCTGAAACTGCAAAATTCATATTTGAAGAATCTAAAAAGAAGCAAAAGACTACGAATGTATGTTTAAGAGATACCCCTTCAAAATGGCCTGTCAAGGAATTGGCTGCTAATTCCATGTATAGGATAAGTGAAACTCTTCTGCGAAATTATGAAGGCAGCCTCAACCAGACAGGTGAGAGATTATTTGAGGCATTGACTGTCATGATATCTGACATACTGGCTGCTTGTCTCACGAATATGAAGCAAGTTATAAAGAGGAAGTGTTTGAACAGCACCATTGAAGAGAGGGAGGAAAGTGTGAGGCATGCCGTTTGCATTCTCGGTAAAACTGAAAACATTCTGAATATTCTAGACCAGAGAATTCCCCCAAGTATGGACCCTCGTCAGATTTCAAGCATTGATGAGTGGCGTTTGTTGCACAAGATGGAGAGCCCTTTGGCCTTCCCTTCTTCGTCTCCATCAGAGGGTGACACAGCCTCTTCTGTTTCAAGTGACTTCTACGTGATCATTGAATAGAATGCACAATCCTGGAGCTTACAACAGAGGCAGCTTACGATTCACATGTTACTACAAAAGTAGCTGAGGCAACTTTCAACTTCTGCTTTACATTTTTCTTTATGTTGATATATGAAACTAATGTACATATGTAGTAGAGATTTTATCTAGCAGGAAAACTATAAATTATAGAGCATGATCGTATCTATTTCGAATCGATGCCTTCCCACGATAAATGCTTACTTTTATTCCTGGTTTTTCTGTCAGTAGTTTTATAAATATACATTAGCAAAGCTACCACAGAAAAGCTAACAGATTATCACCCTCTATGTGAGAATACATGGTTTTATTTTTTGGATAGGAATACATGGTTTGTAATAGGTTATCAAGCATATAATTATGAGTGGAATACAGATTATCAACCTAATGTAGCATGACTGGCAATTAGCTTCCCATAGCTTGGCTGGTTGGGGTGCTACAACATGAATTTGGGCTTCTATTTATTTGAGGAGTCTCGAACTAACACTATGTGGCGATGTATATCACACAGTATTGCTGCTTTTAGAGTGCTTCACCCTATTTCTTTATGCGACCAATGTACCAAAACCTGGTTTATTAAAGAGACATAGAACACATTATTATGAATTAAAGCCCGTTTGAAAATGCTTTTCGAATGACTAAAAGGACTTTCAAACAATCAAAAACACTTAATATTGTGTTTGGCAGAACATTTCAAAAGTACTTACGGGTCTTAAAAGAGATTTGTGGAGTAGTATGTACCCAGTGTTTTTTCATGAAGCACTTTCAAGAACTTTTTGAGAAACACTTGTATTTTTAGCACATTCTTCCAATAAAAGCATTTATAAATAGCAGTATTTCCTTAAAAAGCAATCTCAAACTCAAACTACCTTTAGTGAACTATTTAGCTCCATTTCCTATAGGAATCTCTCATTGCGTATAACTTGATTATCAGTCTCTCTTTCTTTCTTTGTCTTTGTTCAATTAATGGGTGGGCTGAAGCCCAAACAAAAGAAGAAAACTACAAGTGAATGCTTCTGGCCCTAACCACTCTTAAGTCCAGGCATCTTCATCTTGCAGCCGAAGTCCACAACAGTGGAGGGAGGTGAAAGTTACGACCAAGGCCTCTCCTGCAGCCACCGCCACCGGGGAGGCAATCACATTACATTACCTGGTTCATCTCTCTTATCTCCGTCTATCTCTCTCTGAAATTTTCGAATGTATTTGTTTGTTGCATTTGAATTTATACCGTCATCTACGCGATTTCTGCTTTCTGCATTTCATCAAAATGTGAAGTTTCAGCTGTACCGTTGTTTGCCTTTCTGCATTTCATCAACATCTATTATTAGGGAATTTTCTTGTTATTTTTCACTTTTGCAGCCAGAAAAGGAAAGAAAGAAAGAAGCTTTAGGTTTTTGCATTATTGTATATTTCCAATTGAATTGAGGGCCAGGATCATATGGAGAAGCAATTAATATTAGTGTGTTAGGGTGCTCTGTTGGTGTACACAAGCTTGTAATGAGTGCTTACATTTGGTCCTAATGCTATGTCCTCTGCCACATCAATTGGTGTCTAAAACTCAGAAAAACTTTTGGTGTCTTTAGTGTCATTGTGAAGGACCAAATACACTGAGTGTGGTTTATTATATCATACATATAGGTTTTATAAAAGAAGCAAATAGTAGGTACCAGCCAATCGTAGAGATAACATTATGGATACCTTGTTTTAATAATGAAAATTCTCATTTCAAGTGAAGGATGAGGGAAATTGACATTTTGAGGACCTATGTAAAGTAAAAGTCGTTATGACCAACAATTTGAGGAATGATATGGGAGGTTTAGAGTTGGGATTGATAACGGTTAGGAAATAAAGTTATAAACCTCCAGACTCGGCATAAACATTATGGGAACATCAGCCTCAGGATCACATTTTCTCGAACTTGTTTATATGGGTTTCTTATAAATTTGGAAGTGGGGGCTGTTGTAGTCATTCTAGCAGAAGAGCTTTTTCAGCAACTATGTTCAGAAATAATACTTGGGTATTGAAAAATATCTTCTCTATGTTTGTCTTCTGTAAATTTACACTACATTTGCTCTTCGCTGGACCAAGTAATAACAAAATCAGCAAGAATTTTATCAATGCTGAGTGATGAGGGGTGTGTAACCAGACAAGATACTTATAATTTAAGTGTGTCTACCTGCATCAGATTGGTAATTATTTATGTTATATAGCCCAAGTATGTGATTGGGAAATAGAAGCAGAGCTCTTAATTTATACCTCAAATCAATAAATGTGAAAATTTCTCAGTCTATATATTTCTTGAATAAAGAAGTGTAATAAGTGTGAATTGATTTTTTTTCTTTTGTGGACAGAAGTGTGAATTGATCAGTGTGCTGTTGTTGTTTGGAAGAGTTGAGAAAAGAATAGGATAAAGCTTATATAAGGGAAACGACAGTTCTAATCTTTCTTGGACATTGGATATGCTGACCTGTGTATGCTTGCATTATTCTTTTTCTGGTTGAATAGGGGCCAGAGGCCCAACAACAAAATAACTAACTCACAGTACTTCTGGGCCTTGGGACTCTAACCAGGTCTTCTCTTAGTTAGTAAGTGAACAATTATAGAGGGAGTGGGAGTGAGAACATTCAAGATAGTGCAGCCCAATTCTAGCTCCAATCCATAGTTAGCAGTCCATCAGCAGCTGCATTTTTCTACCTGTAAATGCGAGCCGCTCCAGTTTATATTAACTGGGTACTAAAAGTATTCAGCAATTACAAACAAGCCTAGAATATCACAAATTTAGCACAAGCACAGTAAAGGTTAGGAGGGTTTGTTTGTTACTGGAACAGGGAATAATTAGAATCATATTATATCAATTTCTATTAGTTGTTATGTGCTGCTTACAAGATCTTACTGGTATTTTGATGGTTCTAACTTCTACTTGTGTAGTTGATTCCGTATTCTTTTTATTAACAATTTTTGGCTTTAGAAAGATGATGGTGGAGGATGGTTTGGATGCTCAATATAGTAATATCACGTCTCTATGGGAAATGGAAATCATCTAGTTTTTCTACTCAATTGCAAATAATGTTACTATATAATTCTTTTTTACTACATAATTACTGTCCCAACTCTACTCTTTCAAAGAAAATTCTTTTTCATCTTTAACTCGAAAGTCCTGAGTCATCTACTCAAGTTTACTGTGCGTGGCTATCAACTTTCGTTATCTGTTATGTTGTTATCATTTAAACATGTCGACATAGTTCACTATTTCTGCGTCACTGTTTCTGTGAGTCCGCTGAGAGAGAGAGAGAGAGAGAGAGAGATGTCCGCAAATAGTTGATCATCAACTACCGAAAGTAGACCATATTTCTAGTTCACAGCATAAGATCACAAGAGGTGAAATAGACTTTTCCCCATCCATAAGCCGAAAGAAAGAGTGGCAAAGAAGGGTTTCACTTCTCCTAAGCAAGTTTCTAATGTGGACATGTATTATACGAATTTCATATCACTTTGACTTATTTAAGTAGAAAAACCGGGATAGTTGATAACTGATATATTACATTGTTGAGTGTGTCATATCTCTATGGTCATGACATTTGAATATTTTTCCTTCACTGGATTTGCACTGAGTTTTTCATTACATTTACCATATACATAAACTTGTTTTCAGTAGTATTTGTGCACCAGACTCTACTGATTGCTGATGATGTTTACAAAAGTTACATTATTGTTGTTACTAGTGACATGATTTTGTGGTTCAAGAAATTGGTAAGGTCCCCCCTGCCCAAAATTATGCTAGAAATATTGTACTTATGATATATAAAACTAAAACTATGTCAATACCAATGCTTGTGAAGTAAGGTTGTAAATGGGTGCCTGTTTGTTTTTTTCTCCTTTCCAGCTTTCTTGTATTATTAGGGATTGACTAAGAGAAAAGAGAGTTAACAAAATAAAGGTTATTTTGTTGAGGATTGACTTAAGAGAAAAGTGGATCAGTCTGGTGGATTTCAATAATTATTCAAAGAAAAAGACAGACACAGAGAGAGATTGTGAAAGAGACATCGATTGTGAAATGCTAGGTTGACCTTTAATGACTTTATATAATTTGGTGAAGACAAGATAAGAAAACAAAAGAGAATAGGTGATAAAAAGAAGAAAACCTCTGTTCTGTAGGCCACTGAAATTGTCCAAATTAGGGGCCTGTGGAGCCAAAGATCCATTGAGTTGTATGGTCCAAAGAAAAAGAAAATTGGACCAACATGCATGGGGCCTCAGTGAGAAAATGAGATCACAAAAAAGGAGTGAACTCTTAGGGTGTTTATTAGGGGCCTACGTTTAAACGACTTTTGACATTCATGAGTGCTTACTTTTGGGATTTAGCACAAAAGAAATCAAGGAACGCGTTTTTCTTACGCTCATGAACACAAGAAAGGAAAAAGAGAGAAATAAAACAACAAAAGAAACTTGAAAAGATTGGATTGGAAAAGATATAGTGGCAAAGCATCTGTAAAAGATGGAAGCAAAGGCTGGGTGATGACTACCACCTTTTCTTTGGCACAAGCACACCAAACAAAAATCTTTTTTCTTTCTTTCTCATAAGAAATGAAAACCCAATCTTTTTTCTTTCTTTTTCGCTTCGGCCATTCACCTCAAAAATCCAAGGGGTGGCTTGGCCATTAATCTGAAGTTGATATTTATTTATATCTAGTATGCCAATTCAACTTTCATCTGTACTTTATGATTCTTAACATGCGAATTTGAATGTTATATGCCCCCTTTCCCTTTGAAATGACTTGGTACTCAACTCATTATTTTTTTCAGATTTAGCATATTAATGTTCTCTATTGGACTGAAATATTTCAGGTTTCTTTTTCATAAAAAAGAGTTTAGGCTACTTATATTATCTCATCACTCAATCACTTGACAAATTTTCTTAAACTTTAAAAGAAATGCTAATTTATATTGTTATGTCATTAACTACTTCAAATTCAAGTGTCTGTATCGTGATTATGAAATGGTTTTGGCATTGATATCATCTGCTCAAGTTCTCTATGGTTATGCAGGTCTCATAGGTTTGCTCGTCTGGATAAGCAAAAAAAGCACGCGCACACTTGCACACTTGCACAGCACACAATCAAGTTGAGGCTGTTCTTGCACCAATTCAGCCACGATGACTCATGACAGTAATTTCACTTTTTAATTCAATATATAACTGTGTTGTTGACAGGGAAAGTGTGCATGAAAACAAGGTTGGTTTATAATACTAGTGTGATAGAGAAATTTGATTAAGGAAGGGATGTGGATGGCTTTGGCAGTGGGGAAAATGAAAATAAAAATAAGAGATGATAGTTGGGCAAGTAGGGCTTGATTGGTTTCCAGCAAGAAGAAGAAAAATAAAGGTAGGGTTGATTGGTGGTGGTCACCCACCCGCATATGTTTTAGCCCATACATGATTGAAGGGAAGCCAAAAATTTGCCAAAAGCTGGTTCATGTCTCACGAGAGCATCTATGTTGTCTAAGCCAAAATCCCTCACTCCTAGGAGAGGCTTCTTCATGACAAAAGCACTTTTCCCCATTTATACTGAAAAGTAGTTTGATCATTATACTTTCCAATATTGCTTCCATGGGTAGTGTTGTTTTTAGGGCTTTAAAATTGAAAGCCCCAAGGTTTTGTTTAAGTGCTTTTTACAACTTTTTATCTCTCTTTGCGGCAATAGGTACAAGAACGAAATCAATATTGTGTTTGACGAGTGTTTAGCACGTGCATCATGAATTATAATGATGCGTTGAAGGTGAACATGATGATGACTGTGTTTCGAATGGGGATGTGATCAAACCTAGATGTGCCAATGTATCTTTCACCTGTTGTTTTATTTTAATGTATCAGTAATAATAGCTAGAAGAGAATTTTAAGATATGTACATGCATTTTCGACATAGGAAGGAATGAATCAAAATATTTCTCATCGTTTTTGAACTGGTATTGTCTAATAATACGAAGAACTGAAGCAAGACTAGAGCTAGAAAATGTTTTAAGTTGGAGATGACATCTTCAAAGAAAGGTTGTGTTCTTTTGATGAAGACAAATTTTAGATGCCCTAAATTCATTCCCCGAAATTGATTTTTGTTTGTTTTATTTAGTCAGAGAGGATATTCGAGCTTAAGACACCTTCCAACAGTTGGAAGGAGAGGTGTACTGTTTAGATACCTATAAGAAATTGAAATCAAAATAATTGACACTCACAAAGAATTTGGAAATGCATTCTTAAGAATGCCAAACCCATTCCCTTTGGAAAGCAACTTTGCTTTTCATTCTTCATTTCAACTAACTAATCCCATTATTGGTAGGTTGAGAAAATGCTTAGGTCAACCCTCACCATGATGTTGGAAATTCTTAAAAGTCAACTTATAATTTGTACTATAATACCAAAACATTAGTAGCCAAAGTCAGACCAAACCTTAAAAAATTTAAAATAAACCCACTTATTTTTGCAGGATTGGCTGCAATGGTGCCCCAAAAGACCATTAGGGTCAACCTGTAATTATAATTTATAAATAAACATGTTTAAATTTTAGAAGCATGACAGGTTATGGTTGGGTTCTGGGGTCCCCTTAGCATGCTCAAGTCAACTCAGCCAACCTGTGACCCAATTACCCTAGCTGGCTACCTTTTGTTGTACACTGTAGGAAGACTGGTGGTGCTTCAGATCAGAGATGGGATGGTACAAATTACTGCGGCAGAATCTTGAAGGGACTTGTTTAAAAGGCCAGCTATTTGGTCCAGGTCCCAACTTTGCACCTGGTCATTTTATTTTTATTGTATCTATTTGTTTTTTTATTCTTCAAAATAACAACTGTTTAGAGTTCTGGAATTCAGATAAGAAACTTGTAGTTCAAGTAGTTAAGAGTACTTATACATATGCTCGATATCGTTTGTATCAACAACAACAAAAATTCTGAAATTTGGAGATGTGAATTTATTTTTTTGATACAATATAAATTGATATATAGATTGTTTTAGGTTAAAAATAGTAATTTATATATGATACAATATAAATTGATATATAGATTGTTTTAGGTTAAAAGTAGTAATTTAAAAGTATATATATATATATATAAAAACTTTGAAATAAATTTGAAACACGAGAAGCAAAAACTAAAACTTTTGTTACAAGTGTGAGCTGTTAGAATATACCTTGCTTTCCCCGTTACCTCTCCTCTATTGCCTTCAGAAAGTTGTTCGACGTCTATCCCATATTCCTCCAACTCTCTCTTAATCTTACCATAAACAAAACAAAATTTAAAAACCTCTGTGTATTTTTAGGATAAATAAAAAATCTCTTACATATTATGTCACGCCTAATCGAAAGTGATTACTTAATCACAATGATTAACATTAAAACACATCACAAATTTACATCAAGCAAGTGAAGTACAATAAACATAATCAACATGGGTAACTAACTAGCTACTAATCTAATTATACATTTTTTTTCTCAATATTGAAAGAGGTAAAAAGTTTGAATCTCGTTACGCCAATCGATTAAAAAAAAAAACATTTTAATTTTACACAATCAATCAATAACATACAGTGTACATAATTTATGTACTTTTCTCTTCTTCTTTTTCTTTGGTGCAATTATTGATGTTGATTTTCTCTAAAATCCATTATTTGCACTCTAAACATTTTCTTTTTTTTTAATATTAATTCCACGCATGGTGTGTAAAACCACTGATTGTCGATACAAAATTGATGGATGGGAAAATCCCCAAGTAGATACTGACGTGTCATTATATGAAGGAGAAGAATCTATCGTTCCCTTCCCACCACCAATCTTCCGTACACACGTGGCAGATTATGAGAGTGACAAGTCAGTTCATGCGGGGGTCCCACAAAGAGGGGCCATTTGAGTTCCGTAGTCATTTTGATTCTGGGTTCCAGTTTTGTCCAAGGGCAATACGCAGCAGCAAATTCATACGATGCTTTGGCAGGGGAATTAATTAATGACACATAATTAAGTTTTAAAAACAACCAATTAAAACTGGTTTAAGTTCTAAACTTGTGATTTCCAAATCTAGACGACTATAATAAAGGGAGTTTCACTAAAACACCCAAAATGGGGGTTGAAATTATAAAAAAATCCAAGCACTATTTAAACATATAAACACACCCAAAACTCATCATTACACACACTTAAAACTCATTTATAAACACACCCAAAAAGTTGACTTTGGGGTTGATTTTGGGTGTGTTTCTATGTTTAAATAGTGCTTGGGTTTTTTTATAAATACATGTCTAGGATTGGGTTTATTTATAAATTTGTATATAATAAATTGATGATCAGATCAGGAGAGGCTGCTTAGATCATGGGGCCCACTTAACCCAATAACCTAAAGTTTTGGCTAAATTTGGCTCCAAACTTATAATAAATTGAACGCATGAAGATCTGCTACAATTTGACTTGAGCACAGTTTTGCCTGGCTTGATTTCTGTGAGCCGTTGATTTCCTTGACATTCAAAGGCTGTGATCTATCATTTTTAGACTCTTTTTTTACATCACAAATTACCTTGTTTCATAAATTAGTATTATAATAATCATCAATTGCTATTGTTAATTATAGGCTAAAAATACTTTATAATGGCTGAAAACACAAAAGGTTGAATTGTAACATGTCACCCATTACATCATAATGATCATTATAAAGATTGTTTTCTTTTTGCCCCTTCTCCCAAATATAATTATATTTTTTCCAATGCCTTTCGTTTTTGGTTTTTGGAATCGAAACGATATAGTATACAAGATAAAACTAATCAAATAAAGTTTTAAAGTAAACTCTAAATACGTGTAATCACTCGCAAATCACACATCAGAAACTCGTGATTTTACATACACAATTAGCATTTAAACTTGAACATTTAACTTCATAACTCATCTCGTATGCACTCTTTTACCGCTGAGGCCACGACAACATGTTTTTATCTTACTAAACTTTTAATAAATTAGCTTAGTTTCTTTGCAGATGTCAAGTAGCTGCAAGTTTAGCATGCTTGAAATAAATTAATGGTGCATTGCCATAAGGGGTCCTTATCATTCAACCAACCCTCCCTCCATCTCATCCACCCCCAGAAAAGTCCAAAACTCACCCTCCAACTCCAATCTCCATCCTTAGTTATTTTTGCCCTTTTGTTCTTAGAGAGCTAGAGAGAGAGGATGGCCACTAGACCTAAAGGTCAATTGCTATTTGCTATAAATATTAAATTAAGAAAAACATAATCACAAGCACCAATCACCTTTCCACACATGCCCATGATTGTTTTTCCTTCCCAACAAATTTTTCTTTTTCTTTTGGCAGAAAAAGATATAAATATAAAATATATTTGTGTGTCAAGATCAAAGATCAAAGATGAAAGAGCCAACATCCCAATGGCTTGGCTGGGATGGACCACCTGCGCACCCAAACCATAAATAAATGGCTCACAGCTCTACTGTGCATTACTAGCCTCACAGTGTACGCAGTGCAGGGTCTTTGTTGTAAAAATCCCTCCCCTTTGGGCTTGGAGCCATGGGCTTCCCAAATTTTGTGAAATAAATTGGGAAAATTATTATTTAGTTTTCTTCCAACTTAAGGTCTACAACAAAAGCTTTTTATTTTTTCGTTTTTATTTCTTCATTAACTAATCTAATATCTTATATTCTGGTACTAAATTGTCAATTGCGATTTGCTAACATGATAGCAGATGAACTGCTAATATCAATCATCTTCTTGAAAATCTTTGTATTTAGGTTCGGAACTTTTCAAATATTGTGACACTTACATGATCTTAGGCAATTATGGATTCTAAAAGAAAGCTCGTAATTTTATTTTTTGAGTTAAAAAAGGGAAAATAATACATTAATGTTTGATGATGCTCGTTTGGTGCCTAGTATTGGATTGAATTGGATAACTCTCTATATTTGAAGTATGTTAAAGGAAGAAATGAAAAAATGTAGACCAAGTTGAAGGTAGAAGATGGATTACTTACTTAAGAATCATTCACTTCTACATTCATTTCCTCTTTCAACATACTTTAAATTTAGTGACTTATCCAATACAATATAATCCTAAACACCAAACAAAGTGTGGTAACATAATTAGAAAGTGATTACACTGCAAGACAATGCGTTAACCCTAAGACCCGCCCTACATAAAAATCAAAATGAACCATCTTTATTGTGTCTGACTAAAGTTTATAAGCTCACCTTATTGAAGTCTTAATCACCCCATGTGGACCCACGAAATTAAAATAATGAGAAGCAATTTAAAAAAAAACCTTTGTACTAATAAATAGGAAAACCTTAGGGGAATGACAAAATCCTCAGACACGGACACCTCATTCTTTAATCCAAATGGAGATAAACTAATGCACTTAAATGTGTTAATTAATCTCAATCTATAGGGTATTATCGAGGTTGTTCGCAGGTATTTTTATAGGAGTTCGTTTTCAAAGAAACCGACGTTTTCTCAGTTCTTAATTTGTTTTAATTATTGAAGGCAAGAAAATGTGATTAATCTTTGTCGCTGTCGATACTAGGCATGTTCTTGAATTTATTTTTTGTTATTTGTTATTTTATTTTTAACTTTTGTCTGAGTTATTTACATCAACACTCCTTGAGGTTTTCGGTGTTTTCACAAAGCCCTTTGAGATTTCAAAAATTATACGAACACCTCATGAGGTTATAGATTGTCTTCATAAAATCCATTTTCGTTGATTGTTCGTCCGAAACTTGATGATTTCATTTGAAAAATAAAAAAAATAAATTTATGCAAATGAAAAAATTAACCTTAGTGAATGCATGTGCTATTTAATCTCAAAGGCTAACTTCGACATTTGGAGAAATGTTTTATATAAAATCATCAATCTTTGGATAAAAAATCAATAAAAAACGAGTTTTGTGAAAATAATTTAAAATCTCATGGGATGTTCGTGTAATTTTTAAAACCTTAGGAGGTTTTTTGAAAACACAGAAAACCTCAAGGCGTGTTAGTGTAAATAACTCGGTTTATTATGCATGTATTTGATTAAACAAAACAAAAGCCTCCAAAACCAGAACTGTTAAGAGGTGAATAAAGTAATCAAGTGGGTGTTTCAATCAAACATGGCCCATGTGGCTTGATTAGTAGGTGTCCATAAAACTAATCAAAAAAATTAGGGAAAATTTCAATAGGCTACAAGACAGGGCACTGTGTATAATAATAGCATAAAGAATTCTAACTTAAAAAAAATGTCTTCACAAAGAAGAAAATATTATTAAAATTAAAAAATAAAAAATAAAAAATTAGGTTGCTTTTGAAGGAGGAGGATGGAGGAGAATGACGCGTTACGTGTTTGGTGTAATACATGCAGGAAAAAGAGCATTATCATCAGACATGGTATGACAAAATTCAACCCAACCATGTTATTACCCCTTATCATTGTTAAAGACACTACTATTATAAAAACAAATGTTTGTTTAAGCTATAAAAAAATAATTTTAAAATGTCAATAAATTATGTGTTTTTGTTTCACTGTTTTCTGTGCCACCTTTTTGTATTTAATTAGCTTGTCTTCAGGAGAAGTTGTATTCATATTTGGCACTTTAATTGCTATGTACTTGTTTGTTTATCATATCAATAAAATACTATCGCTATTTTATCAACGACGACGGAAAAAAGAAAGAAAAAAAAGCATGGCCAATAAAACTTCTCAATCAAAATTATGACAAAATTAGCAACACATCTAAGTTTTCTGAAATTAGCATATCTATCATATTCCTGCCGAGAATAGCAAGCACTTAGTCTGTCAGTGATTCACATCTCTACCATATTCCTCCCAGAATCTGATAAGCTGAGAGTAAGCTCCTCTTAAATCAAACAAGGAATATAACATATGGTAAGAGGATCCATTAATTTCCCAAGTAGCATGTTGAAGGAGATCACAACAACCCATCTATAGAAATTCCATTTTGTCCATAAAGAGACTAGAAAAGGGCCAAAAAGAGACATCATATCATCTTAGTCCTAGCACTCAAAGCACAACTAAGTGCCCATTTGGTATTTTGCTTATTTGGAGTCAAAAACACTTTCTTCAAAATCTTTGGCTACACAACCTGTTCCTAAGACCATGAAACACCCAACACCAAGTTTTCTTCTTCTTTTTCTTCTTTTTATTTTTAAAATCTCAAGTAACTAGGTTAGTTGTTCCAAAATCGCATGCAGCAGTATCGCTATAAGTTGTTCGGTTCCTAGTGACAGGAGTTTGATGAATCACTTTAATCCTAGTTACCATGAGAACTGCTAGAAATACTTCATTTGGGTGGGTACTAACTGCTAAGTGGAATCACAGAGAACTAGTTTCAATTCAACATACCAAGGAGCAACAGAGTGCAAGAAACCCTATGTTAAAAGAAACATAACAAGGTGTCAAATGAGAGGTGCATTCTCAACATGACGTGCAAGTTCGGAATTCATACATTAAGTTAGCAAGAATGAACTTCTATTTATAAAACCCAGCAGAAAATCTGGCAGTCAATTTCCATATAAGTGAACTTCTATCGATAAAACCATTAAATTAGCAAGCAAATGAACTACTGTCTCTAAAACCAACAGACTGAACGTCAATCTAGAAAACTCGCAAACTGAATTAAAATCCGGTAAGTTGTTTTTCCATTTATCGTTCATTTGTTGCCAAGTATACAACATATTATAACCACCTTAACCAGAAGAAAATGCAGCTTTCCTATTTAAACATTGAAGTACCACAGCACCAATATCCATGTTCAAAAGAAATACGACTCTACTAGGCTTCCCTGTTAGACGATTTGTTGAAATACTAGTCTGTCTAGACTAGATACACAATAAGCAAAGGAGACTCACAAACGTGACAATTCACAAGGATTAAGTCATAACAGAGGCGCCAAGAAGATAGTTCAATATTTATTGACATATTATCAGAGTAGACTAAGCTGGACCTCTGCGATAAATTGTGAGTTGCAAAAAACCAACCTCCCCTGCTTGTCAAAATGCTGCTCCTCAGCACCTCCAGGCTGAAGCAGAGATGAGCTCTCGACGCTGCCAGCATAGAACAAGTGACTCTTGACGCTTCTCCACATGAAATCCCCTTGCTGGAGTCCTCTTCACCACACATTCTGCCTGCGTTTCAGTAAAGTTACTGAAGGGTACAGGGGTGAAACCGGCAGAGGCAAAAAGCGTTTTCCAAAGGGGCATTTTGTCCGGGGCTCGAAGACGCCCTAGAACAGTGCTCTCAATCTTCGGCTGAAGAAGGAACCTCTCAATCTTGTTCACAGCATCTGAGGTCACATTAACCGCATCAAGAGATTCCAAAAGGTTTATGTAGGACTGGAGGGCCTGCAGAATGTGCTGCGGGAATGGAAGGTCACTTCTATCACACCCTCTATCCAAGGACACCATAATTTTGGGAGACAGCTGCTTCACAAAGCGAAGGAGATTGGGCAACGCAGCCGGTTGATTTGAAGTAGACCAAATGGGGAAATTCACAGCAACTGTCTCATTATCGTTGGCTCGAAAAATGGGCAGGGAGTAAGAGCTCTGGTCCAGAGAATCAAAGTTAACCACTTCAAGCTCAAAACTTATCCCAATCTCATTGGCAAATTGGGTTAGATTATCACGCATAAGCCCGAGCTCAACCGGGTGGTGAGTCGAAGGAGAGGCAAATGCAGTGATTCTGAGTGAAGGGGCAGTAGCTCCCCTATTCCTGACAGGAAGCTCCTGCATAAAGGAAGCCCAATGAGCACCAAACCCAATATCAAAATCGACAATGTGAATCTGATCTGTGTCTGAGACGGCCTCAAGAAGAGCCTGGTTGCAGGTGAAATTGACAAACTGAATAAGTGGAGAAACTTCAGAGAACACTTTGTAAGCACCCATTTTGAAGATGACATCAAATGGGGTTGGGGTTCTTGGTGGAGGAGAGGTAGCTGGATTGTTCATGAGGAGGAGGAGTTGCAAAGCCTCCTTGAAATAGAAAGCAGCCCTCTGAAGGGGCTTTCCAACAGGGGAAAGCTGGTGATTGAGCCGCGCCAATATCCCTTGCGCGTGTGAAAAGTTCCCAGTCCCTACCAGCTCTGCGGCCTTATAGAGCTGGTCGAGCAAAGTATGCTGGAGCTGTTGCTGGTGAGCCATTTCTTCACCATGGCCCACCGCAACCTTCGGCTTCGGCACCATCAATGGCTTCTGCGGAACATGATGCTGCTGAGGCAGAAATTGCATGCCTTGAGGATACCCAAATTGCTGCTGCTGCTGCTGCTGATGTTTTCTCAGCAAAAACTCATGACCCGGATCAGAAAACTGAACTTTTTGGATCTGATGCGAGCCAGGGTCTACAATTCCACCCGAGTTGTGGCGTTTGGCCTGGGACTGAAGCAGGTGGTGTTGTTCTTGCTGGGCATAAGCCAGTGGCATAAAAAAGTTTGGATTTTGAGAAAGCTGAGACTGCTGATTCGGGTTGTTCACGAACAGCTGTGGGTTCAGAATCTGAGGCTTCTCATCTGGGCTGCTCTCAAACTGTTGCTGCTGGTAAACCACATGACCAAGAGGCAAAGAAACAGGAAGAGCCATAGTGTTTGATGAATTAAAGAAAATGGGGTTTTGAATGTTGCAATTGACACTGTTGCCCCCACCATTGTTGTTGTTGTGCATCAACCCAACATTTGAAACCTTGTAATTTAGCAACCCAGAAGAGCCAGGCACAAAACCCACCTTCCCATTACTGCTATTATTGCCGTTGCTCACAAACCCAGAACTGGAAAACCCGAAATTCGGCCCCGAAACACTCGTGCCCGAAACGCTGCTACCGATTAGGTCGAAACCCGGGCCCTGATCGACGATTCCCAAACCGGCATTGCCGTCAAAATCAAGAGGGTTGCTGTTGTTGTTGTTGCTGCCGTTCTGGTTCCCGCTCTGCAAGAGCTGCTTGAGCCCAAACGACGTGTCGTCCACATCCCCAGCGATCCACCGGAGAAGCGACTGGTCTTGACCCGGAGACGCCGCCGTTTCGGAGAGCATGGTCTCCCAGTCCTCCAACCCACCAAGCCCAAGCCCGCATCTCTCGACGCCTCCTGATCCAGTCACGGCCTCCAACCCGCCGCTCGGAATCGATTGAAGCTCGCAGGCCCACTCGTCTTTGGTCGACGCGGGTCCCACCGGAGGCGATGTCTCCGCCGCCAGCGGCGTCGTTTTGTCACCCCCACCACCACCACCGCCGTTGAAAGACGAAGAGAGAGTCGATGCAGAAGTGGGTGGGCTCGGGCTTCTTCTCATATGAAGAACAGAGTTGGGTTCGCTGCTCACAAAGCTGTTGTTGTAGAAAAAGCAGTCGTCTTTCTGGCTCAAGTACTTGTCGCTGTTGCTGTTGACGTTGTCTGTGAAAATTGAAGCTAAGCTTGTATTTGCGATTTCTAAGACCCCCTTCCCTTGCTGAAAATGAAAGGGCATCCCTCTTGCATAAATATCACAAACCCAAAAATTAAAATTAAAAAAAGCTCAAACCTTTGGAAAGATCAAACCAAGTTGCAGAAGATTTGCTCAGGGAAACAAGAACAAGAGGCAGAGCAATGGGTTAAGCTCAGAAAATGGGTTCTTTTTAGATTTGTGCAGAAAAAGCTCTTCGTTTTTCTTCTGAGTCTTCCTCAAATTCACACCCACCATCCACTCTTTGCATGCCATGAAATCTTTTCAGCTCAAACTAAACAAACCCATTTCAAAAAATTGATTCTTTCTTTTCTGTAGCTCACCATTACTGAACAAGTTCTCTGTCTTCCTTCTCAGTTCCATCATATCTTACTTTACTATTTGCCAGAGTTCCATTTCAACTCTCTCTCTCTTCTCTTTCTCTCTCTCTCTCTCTCTAGACTTAGCAGCTGTTGTTGTTGTGGGTAGAGGTGGTGTTGTTGTTTCTTCTAATCTCTTCTTCTACCCTTGTGTCGCAGCAGAGAGTACTCTGTACCCTTCCCTGTTCTGCCATGGATGCGTGCATCATAAAAAAGGTAATAAAGTGTGCTCTCCCTCCTCACCATCTCTCTCTAGTCCCTATCTCTTTCTCTCTCTACAATTTTTATTTTTATTTTTTTTCCATTCTCTTTTTTTATTTTTGCTTTTTTTTTCCTTTCTTCTGAACCAATTTATCTCTCCCTCCCTCCCTCCTGCTCTGTTATATTGCTGGGTTTCTGTCACCTCCGCATAGTGGTCACGGCATTGTCTTTACCTTATTTTACATTGGGTAAATGGGCGCTCTGCTTTTTGATAAAAGGGCACCCCGGATATTAAATTACATTATAGGCCATGTCAGATCCTGTCTTTCCTTGCATAGATACAGTACAACTATTCATGTTTCCTTTTTGCCACAGGCACAACTATTCATGTTCAAAGTTCAATCCAACTATCCATTCCTGTTTCCTTTTTGACAGATTCAATTAGATCTTCAAATCTTTAAAAACCATGTTTAAATCGGGTAATGAATTAACACAAACCGGTTCTTTGGTTCGTTGGTGAAACCGGTCACATCTTCATCCCGAATTCACATTTGTAAAAAAGGGTAAAATTGTCAATTTAACAGCTACAATTATTTATGCTTGTAAAATGCTCTTGGTAAAACTATAGAGAGCATAAATAATATATATATATATATTTTTTATTTTATTTTACTAACAAGAGTAGACACAAAATCGCCTAGTAATTAAGAGCAAATCCAACTGACAAATGAGCCACTATGCTTACATGCACGATACTTTTACTGACAAGAGTATACTCAAAATCGCCTAGTTATTAAGAGCAAATCTAGCTAACAAATGTGTTTTACATGCACGATACATTTATTGACAAGAATTTACTCAAAATGGTCAAGCAATTAAGAGTGAATCTAGCTAATAAATGAGCCACCTGGTTTACATTTGGAGTGACAAACATGTGATAAACATATGGAGGGGTAGAGTCGACTTTTTCGGAGATATAATCCTTCGATTCGCACTATGAAAATTCTTAAAACCCTAACAAATTGTTGTGCCATGGGGAAAGGGATAAATTTTTCCCTTTGAGTGTTTATCAATGTTCAAAAAAGATCAAGTTTCGTTTATTGATTTAACATATTGTTCTCAATGGGAATATTAAACAAACTATAACGTTTATATTGCTAAAATTGAAATCACATGTCCTTCAAGTGAGAAATCGGCAAAACTACATGACTATAAATATAATTTGGCGAGTATGTGGTGGTTTAGTAGAAAATCGCTAGCTAAAGATATACTTTTAATTTGGGCAACCATTACACAAAACTACATGGACTATAAAAAGCAGAGCTCCCCAATAAGAAGGAAAATTATAATTTGTAAGGTCGAAACTATAGCTTGAAGAGGTTGTGGTGGGAGGGGTTGGCGGTGGCCATGGGTGGGGGGAAGCCACTATCCCTTATTTTTTTTCAAAATTTTGTATCTTGTGATTGTAAACTTGACCCTTTGTTGAGTTGTTGAAGCCACTCTCTCATTTCAAGCAGATACGCATGGCTCATGACTCTCCAAGTTTTCCTCCTCAAGTACTATATTTTCAAATTAAAAGCTCGTTAACACACAAAAAAAATATATATATATATATATATATATATATATACACACCAAACAAACACACAAAAATGAAAAACCCCTCATCAAAATAATGATAGTTAAATAAAAATAAAGATCTTATGAACTTTTGATTTTATTGTGGACTATAAAATATGAATTTCAAGCACCACCCTCAAAGATAAAGTTAGAAGAAGTGTACTGTATTTATTTATGATATCAATCACCTATGAATCTATGATATACGGGTAACTACAAACATACTCAAAATTTATGTTAAAACATAATCTTCAAAGAGGTTTAAGCTCTATTTGGGATTGTTTTTTCGCCAAAAACATGTTTCACTTTAAAGTTAAGCAGTTTAAGGTGTTCGGTAAAAATAAAATATCATAATTATTTTAAAAGTAGTGGTCTTTTGACAATAATTTTTAAAAGCAAGCTATGGGTTTTTTTTCAAAGTTGGTTTCAAAAGAAGCAAAGATGAACATTTAATAATTCTTTTTAATCCCAAAATACCATCATTAATTTTTAAAAATGATATCACCCCCACCTCTACATCCAACTATACCATCACCTCCTCCACCACCACCTCCACCTATACCACCACCACTACCCCCTCCTCCTCATTAACCTCCACTATCCCGACCATCCCCACCACCTCCACCTTCATCACCACCACCACCGCATGATTAGTGCATAACACTTTCAACATCATGTCTATTTTAGTCATTATTCACAGTTACAACTGTTTTATATTATAATTTACCAAACAGTTTTGACAAGGTTTTTTTTGTACTAACAACACTTTAAAAATATTATTTAGTTACTTTACTTTACAGCTAATTATTTTCAAAGTATAGTTGAAACAAATTTTTTTTAAAGTAACAGCAATCCCAAACTGACCCTTAGAGGGTTAATTGAGCCAAAAAGACTTTTAGCATGCATTGAATTACTGAAAAATAGTCGTACATACCAGTGATTTTAGGTTTGAGTCCTCATGGCATCTTAGTAACTATTCTATTTTCCCGTAGTTTTCATGTGTGTGGAAAACCTCCTTCTCTTGTAGTTTAGATTATCGTTGGTATTCAAAACAAATAAATAATAAAAAGCAAGAAAATGAAGTGAAACGACAGCGTATGAAGTAGTAAGAGAGGGTCAATAACGTTAAAGCCCACATCACTTTTGCTCGTTTGGTATTGGGAACTGCGTGCGCAGTCCGCTGTCCGCTACAAAAATCAGACAACGACCCCATGAAGACCAAAGAAAAGCCCAAGAAGATTATTTTCACATCTTCCCCACTGGAAAACGACGACGTCAAAATGAGTGGTTCAGATTAAAAACACCAAAGACGCACGCGTTACGTAACACACTTTAATCGCAGCGAGTTGAATTCCGCATCGCAGCTCCGGGTGTGTTACGTGTAGATCACTCCGCGCGTGGGTCTATGCAGGCAGTCGTTGTTGGTCTTTGCTAAAAATGGCGGCGAGGTGATAAATTGATTTTCCGTTGTTTCACCTTTTTACCATACACAGTAACTCTGGCGGGAAGGGAAAGGTGGGTAAAGTTGTGGGACTTGTCTGTCATTTTGGAAAAAAGCTGTTTTGCTCTTTTTATTTTTATATTTGTTTTCTTCTTGTGGTCTGGTCCAGGTGAAAATAGTACCCCGGGTACAGCTTGGATCTGCTGCTCCGCACATGTACAAGAAACTTTGAACCTAACCATTGAATTGAATGGATCATGTATTACTTTGACCTGCTTCTTTATTTTTGACTATTTTGACTTTGCATCATTAGAAAATACAAACTAATTATAACAGAGAGAAATAAAGATAGAATAAATAAAGCTAACTTGTCTCCACAATTATTGGATAAAAGAACAACAAAAAATCATGCATGTAATATGTCTCTAACACGAGGCGTAAATGTCGATCGATATCGATGAAAAATCGATCGATTACCACTCAGTACATCCGCAACTATTTCACAAAACTAATTCAATTAAAATAAATTCCTTCCATGGTTACAATTTAAGCTAGCTTGCTAACTGTCCACAATCATAGCAGGTAAACAATTTTTTCAAAAAAGAGAAAGAAAGTTATGCATGATCTTTTTGACAGCCTTTTTTTTTTTTGGGTGGCCCGATTCTTTTACAACTTTATACATAAAAATAATAATACAAAGAATTGTATCTACATCGGTACTCACAACCGGCTGCCATATTTATAATTTCTTATTCAAAATAAATGGTCTTTATGTTATTTTATTTGTGCATGAGAAATTAATTTATCTCAATCGACAAGTGTCCACTCTATTATTCACGCCTTTTGAGACAGTTTCAGACTAAAAGTAAATATATCTTAGAACCAGAGCAGTCCAGGCTTAATTTGATTGTGTCATTTCATAAAATGACAAAATACTTCTTTCAAAATTGATTCTTAGTGGATGATTCCATAGTTTTTGTGTAGAATCGGCTACACCCGATCCCATTAACCCCGCCTCATTCGACTTGTTAGCCCTAAAAATCCCTAATTTCTCGGCCATTGCTTTAAATTACAATGTAGAGTAGGCCGCGCAAATGATTTTAATTTCTTGAAAGAAAAAAAAGAAAAAAAGAGATCGCTTCCCAGAAGCTCTATACTTAAATATTTAGGTCCTATCACTTGTGAAATTGGAATATATACAGATATGTAGATCGGTGCAATGTGATTACGTCCACAAAGTTATCGCGAGTGTATTTCTTGAAAGTGACCAATGTACAATGTACATATGCACGAGGAGGCTTATACTGATTGTACTGATGATTGTACTGATGAAAAACCAGAGTCACAAGTTGTCATATTTGGAAGGAGAAGACTAGTTTATAGGTCTTGGTCGGGCATGCATTATTGGATTCACACGGGCACCGCTTTGTCAATACAAAATTGAAATGCAACCACCATCAAACTATAAGCTCTGTCCGACACCTGTACCGTGTACACCAAACCGCTTTGTTTAATTAACGTGGTTTAGAGTATTTACCTTTATATGCATATGAGGTCGTAGATTCGATTCCCACTTTTAATTAGCGTATCAAACTGTTAACTGTTTTCCAATTGAACTTCTGAAAATGAACTGCCAAACACAAACACAAACCTTAGTTTGACTGTACTTTGTCTTTGATACAATACAAGCAAGTCTCTGTCCTTTGAATGCTTTCATTCTCTCAAAACAATAATAGAATCCATGAGACGAGAGGGGTTCATGGGGATTGCGTGGCTCCAAGACTTGAACAGCCTTGTCTATGTGCATTTGAGAAAAAAAAATAAATTTTTTGGGTATTTGTGTGGAAGGGATGAGAGGGGACATGCTTTGGTCTAGCGTGAAAACCATGATTTGGACATGTCAGGATATGGGGGCTTAGTTTATATACAGCCCCATGTGATCTCTAAGGCAAAAACCTTCCATTTTATCAAGTGGAAAGTGACACAACTAAATCCCTCTTTGCCCCACCAATGTTTTTTTCAAATAATTTTTTTT